TCTTAAGCATTTTTCTAATTCGCTTCTTTCCTCCCATTCTTACTTAATTATTATTGAGAAATATCAATAGTATTAATATGAGAAAAGATTTAAACTACGTAAAATAAGTTTTATATACAACACAAACATCAATTTTCTAATTTAACTTTTATACCAAGGATACGAGAAGTATATTAAAATTACCAAGCCCCTTTGCCTCCTGGACCCAGCAAGGCATCGCTCCCATTCCCAACGTGGGATCCCCTCGCTCTAGCTCGTTGCAACTCTCGTCTCTCGGCTTCTCACTTCGATTTTCAGTTTCTGAACTTTTGCTTCCGTCGTCGCTCCGTGCATCTGCATCACTGCCGTCTGTTACTCTCAGTCCTCTCTCTCTCTCTCTCCGCTCGCTTTTTATCCCGTGGACGCTCCGCCATTGGCATCGTAGCCCGAGCTCTCAGGTTTTCTTACCTCCCTTTTGCACTCGATTGAACTCTATCTTCGATTCTATGCGATTTTCGGAGAAATTTTTGGGTGATTATGATGAATTTATCGTATTCTTCGTTATAATCCTGATCGAATAATGGATTATGGGTCTGATTCATGAAAAAAGGACAATGGAATACAAGAAGCAATTCCCTGTTTTTTTGGATGTCCGTTTTGTTATGGCTCCTTATGAAAGGATGGTTTTTGAGGTACCCTTTTCTTCTTTTCATTCTATTACTTCTTATCACACGTGATGAACTTTTTATGTTCTGAATTTTGCAACTTTGACTATGAGAGTAGAGAAGCAACCTAATGAATTCTTTCATCCACCCAGCTATTCTATGACGTTGCCCCCTTTACTGCGGAAAATTTCCGTGCGTTATGTTCAGGTAATTCTCTGATTTCGTTAAAATTCCAGAGCCAAGCCTTCCTATACTGCGATTAGGGTTATGGTTTATGATATGGCTTCCACTTCTCATGTAATCTTTTCTCTTTGTCCAGGAGAAAAAGGAGTGAGTGCTAAAACTGGAAGGCCTCTGGGGTACAAACGGAGTTTCTTTCATCCTTATAAGGAAGGTGACTCCTACGTAAAGGTACGTAGTGATATAGTTTTAAGCTTATGGTTGTCAATCTTATAATACTAAATAGGGAATGTGGCATTAAGACTGTGTACTGATGGCTACCTTTTTGTTTGTAGGGAGGTCTATTTTCCTACAAAACAGGTATATTTTCAATCAAAGCATTGACTTTAGGAACACTAGTCTACTTTCTGACGCTTGTAATTTAATCAGTTTCTCTCAATGTTTTTTGTGTATAGCACGGTATTTGAAGAATGAACCGCAGTAATCATTGCTTGTGAATGATGTGCCTTGTTATAATTTTATATGAGATATTGACATACTGATTTTAAGTAAATTTGTATCCTCTCTGTTCAAAACATTTGTGTTGCTAAACAGTAGGATTGAGTTAGGCCTATTAGTTGAGGATTTTAACCCAACCATTTTTTCCCCAATTAAAAATGCTGCCACCTAAGATGTATTTCCAAATGAGTGGTTGAATATCGTATCTGTTTGGGAATCTTAATATATATTTAAATCTTCAATTTATATAAAATTTGTTTTAGTTTTTTTAATAAGTCTTAAATGATATTGTGAGGCTTTCCATAATTATGATGTTAATCACAATTATAAGTTTCATCTGTGCTGATGCTCATTTTGCTATAATTTTCCAAGATTACTAATCATTTCTTTTCCTACTTATTTGTAATGTCTATTCTTTCACCTTTTTATTTGCAATGCCTATCTTTCACCTGTGTCTCATTTTTAATCTTTTTTGCAGGTGTGAGAAGTGAGAGAAAGCCATATACCCCACGTTTCCCGCGTGAGAAGATCCACTTCTTAGAAGTTCTTAAAATGCTCTTGCCTGTTTATCTTAATGAACATAGTTTTTACATTGCGTGATTTTTTTTCAGTTGACTTAAATAATAATCTCAAACACGACAAGGAAGGGCTTTTATCTATGTCCAGAAGAGACCAAGAAGCTTCTAATTCTTGTTTTGTGATCACATTGGAAGCTGATCCTAGTCTTGACAGGTTCATTGTATGGTTTAACTCTTGTTTTGTTTTCTTCTTTCCTTCTCATGACTGGTCGTGGTGTGTATATAAACTGCCCAATGTGCAAACCTTGGATTTGTAGAAATTAATACTACCTCTAGTCCTTATATAAGAGTTTATTTAACTTTTATTTTAGTCCTAATTATAAAATCTCAATCCATTTTGTCTATCATATTTATCTATTTTTTTCTAAAGTAGTCTTTGTAATAATGGTAGTTCTAGCCAATATATTTGATTAGTAAGGATATTTAAGGAAAGATAATACTTATTTATTACAAATAACTAACTTAATTAATTTCTTAATATACTCAAATTAGTCAACTAACTCTTATATTAAGGACTGGAGGTAGTAATATACTAATCGTGTTGTTTGGAATTTTCTGCAGCTCTCATGTGGTCTTTGGGAAGCTTGTGGGAGGATTAGATACTCTACGAGCAATTAGAGATCATGATTTCTTTCCGCCGGTTTAAATAATCGATAGTGGTGTTTTATATAATCGTAAGCTTTATTTTGACCATTTTAGTTCTATGGAAAACCATAATTTCATGTGAGATCATTCAAAAACTTGTTGCAGCCAGAAATATTCCTCGTGACGTGATTATGAGGCCTTATCGGTCTTCTGATGCGGTGTCTTTTGATACTATGTCTTCTGAGGGGGAGCAGGTAACACTGAATACTTCTCTAGTTTGTCATTAATTATATCAAGGTTGACATCTTGAATTAAAGGGGTGTTGGCAACCCTCAAAAGTGCTTCTCAGAAGCACTTTTCTGCAAAACGAGGCAAATTCCTTCACATATTTACTTCGTAAACCATAAAAGCACTTCTGAAACAATGGTTTGAATTTACATCCAAACACCCCCTAAACATAACTGAAGAACTTGGTATGTGTTTTCCAGGAGGATGAAGATAGTGCGGGTGAAGAAGGGCCATCTTCCTCCAGCCCAGATTCACAACCATGCTTCCCCTAGGAAAGGGTCACAGTCTATCTCTCCAAACTAGACGTTCACAAAGCTGAAACATATGCCAAGTTCACACTACAAAGATATTAGAGAATTCCCTCAAGTCAGCTGAAATATTAGAATAAATTAAGATGAATGGATACCCTCGTGACAAATTCTCTTTTAAATACTACTACCCTGGTCCTTAATATAAAAAGTTAGTTTAATTTTTAATTTGATCCTAGATATAAGACCTCAATCCACTTTATTTCCTGTATCTATCTTTTTTTTTTAAAGTAGTCCTTATAATAGTTAAAGGCTCTATCAAATAGTTGTTCTAGCTAATATACATGATTAGCAAAGGCATTCTAGAAAAGATAACACCTAATTATTACTAATCTAATTTAATAAACTTTCTTAATATTCTGAGATTAGTCAACTAGCTTTTATACTAAAGATTAGAGGTAATGGGACTTAGGGTACAATTGCTACGTTGCCTCCCCCTATTTTCTTGCTTACATTAATACGTTACCACCATTTGTACATGGATTATATTGACGCTGAGTTGATACTTAGGACAATTGATTGTATTGAAATGAATTCCTTTTGGGCATCGCATGAGGGAGTCAAAGGAAAAGTTATAACAATTATTTTTCACTTTTTAAATGAGTTAATTTAATTACAAAATATTCCCTCCAATCCTAAATGATTCTTAATTATTCCAAAAAGTGGTCTCTCTTAACCAAGATATTGAAAATGGTGCAAGCCTGCGTAATCATATACTTATCTGAATTATTTCACAATGTGATTCAAGGTTTTTTTTTTTCCAAGATAGGTTTTTTTTTTCCTTTTTAAGATGATTTTTGAATTTTAAGAATAAATATTAAATGATGATGAGAAATAAACAGACAACAAAAGTTCTCAAAAATTTGTCCCCACGACTCACTTTTAAAAAGTTCAAAACGTTTTTTGTCTATTTGTTTCAGTTAATAGAGTTTCTACATTATTGTGATTCATTTCAGGGGAGAGCACCAGTTGAACTAGACAGGTAAAACTAAATACATTTATTGCGTGCAAAATATTAATATCATTAACTGATTCAATATGAATCGTCATAGGCTTATTTGATTGTAAGGTTTGAAATTCAATTGATTGTTTAAGACTTTAGGAAAATTGTTTGGTTCATTGCAACAAATAATTAATAATAATGAGTTCTTATTATAAATATAGTGATTTTTTTAATTAGTCTTGGTACCTCTTCGATTCTTTCCCTTGCAGGGCAAGTGAAGAAGAGCCTTCCGCAAAGGCAATGCTTCACAAAGCCTTTTCCCCCAAACCAGAGTACTACTTACAGTCCTAATTATAAAATGTTGTTTGTAGTTTACAAGTCTTATAATTAAGACCGAAGGTAGTATTATCGATCACTTCTCTTTCAATCTGGTGATGTCTTTCTGGTTCCATCATTTCGATCTAGATGTTATTTTGGTTCCACCAGTTACAGGAACCGTATGATTTTAGATAGTTGTTTGTTATAATAAGAAATGAAGGGATTATATTACGATTTTTTTATTGGTGTTTGATCTTCAGCAAATAACTCTACTATTTAATTATTTAATGGGCCACGCTATTCTCCCTAGTGGGCATATGCTCATAAAGAAAGAGTTGCCTGTGTGTTCACCAAAAAACACAAGGAAAAAAAAAACAACAACAACAACAAAGAGTTGCATGTGTAGGTATAACTCGCGAATTTCAACTTTGGCACATTTTCTATATATATTCCAATGGCTACAGCTTTAAGCCAAGTTTTCTACCAAAAAAAAAAATCAACACAATTATACGAGCCAATATATCTGTTGGACTTTGACTCGGGGTTCGGTTTTGATGCGCCGAACTATTTGATTGTAAAATTGGAAAATGCATCAATTAAATAAAATAATTAAGCAAGATTATATTTTGATTGATTGAGTCAATTAATTGGAATGATCATCCGGTTAAATATAATATAAATTGAATAAATAATTTAATTTATATGATCCCGATAATCTATATATATTAAATGAATAAATATATATATGTTTATAACATCTATGGATTAAATCAGAATATAATCCAAGATAAACCAACATGAGAACGATTAAATCATAATCTTATTGATTGAGGTAAAAAGATATTGCAAACATATCCAAACTAATAGATATTGGGGAAAATCGGTTAAAAGTCCCTCCGTTGACAAATTAATTGAGGAATGGGATATGTAATAAATGTAAAGGTGTGAGCCTCTTAGATGTTAGTAAACGTGATGATAAAAAAAGACCATATTGCCCTACATATGAGGGATCCTCATCTGCATATCACAGCTCCTGATTGTATATGGTGAATATCTAGTTGCATATAATATATTATTGCATATTACCAATCCTAATTGCATATAATTTATTTAAACTTGCATATTACTAATTCTAATTACATATTGTGAATACCTAGATATATATATATATATATATGATCTTTTATTATATATCATGGATCCTAATTACATATAAGTGATCCAAAGTAGCATATTTGTGATTCTAATTGCATATTGTGGATGCTTAATTGCATAAGGGACCTTACTGTATATCGCGAATTTTAATTGCATGTTATTGATCCAAATTTACATGTTGTTGAGTCTAATTACATATATGTTAGTATTTACATAAACAAATTTCTTTGCACAATACTAACAAACAAATTCTTATTTACAAATAACATTATGGAAGTAGGATTCATCATATGTAATTAGCATTAGAATATAAGAATTTGCCTATGTAAATAGTAATATATATGTAATTAGAATCAATGATATCCATATTTGTATCATTGACATATAATTAGGATCTGTGTGATATCAAGTAGGTCTCATATGCAACTAGATATCCGCAATATAAAATTAGAATCATCAATATGTAACTTTGGATTACTTATATGAAATTAGGATCCATAATTCGAAGTAAGATACCATGTGCAATTAGAATCAGTGCCATGCAAGTTTGTATCAATGATATACAATTAAAATCCATAATATGCAATAAGATCTTATATGTCATATGCAATTAGTATCTATCAGGACAATATAGTCTTTTTCCTATCACACTTACTAATATTTGCAAGATTCAAAACTTAACATTTATTACAGGTCTTATTCTCTAATTAATTTATTAAAGGGGGAATTTAGCCAATTTTTCCTAGATATTCTGGATACTTGCCTTCTGAGGAGGGTATCCCTGGCCCAAGACTATAATTAGGGAACTCATTTTGAATTCATCTCCGTTGAGTTTTTCAACTATCTTTCTAATTTCTTTTCTCTCATATTTTTCTTGTGAGTGTTTTTTACTCATCCCCTATTTGAAATTGGTAGGTTTTGTACTTTTATCTCTATATTATTAGGTATTAAATTCCAACCATATTAATTACAGTAAATTATTAAATCTAATAATCATTAAAACGTGAGCATTCTAATTGTTGTGTGAAGTTTTTTTTTCAAATAAAAACTAAAAATGTTCTAATATTAACTTCTTGAGGTTTTTTTTTTAAAATATCTTTAGAATTAAAATTTAAAATTTAGGATAAGAAGATGGGAAGTTGGGACGGATCATACGAGAAAAGATTTAAAAATAAATGGAAAAAAAGAGTTAACATAATGAAGGAGAGAAATAAGACATATTCTGAAAAAGATTAAATGAATATTTTTTGAGAGCATAAAAATTAAATTTTCATCGTAGCTCTCGCTCACCAATTTTCTTTTGACCCCTTTTGTGCTCGATTGAACTCTATCTTAGCTAGATTCTAAGGGTGTTCACGGGACGAGACAGGATGGGATCGGAACAGGCCTATCCCTGTCCTGTCCCAATGAACAAGGACGGGACAAGACTTTTATCCTCTATCCCGTCCTATCCTGGTTCTATCTAGGTCCCAATGGACCGAGACGTCTTGTCCCTCTGCTTTTTTCCCTTTTGATTTTTGGCCTTCTAAATTTCTTCTTGTTTCTTTTTTTTTTTGGGCCTATCAGATTACTTTGAGCTGAAAACTACGATTATTTTAAAATTGGGCCTTCGAAGATGGACAACACTTTTACAAAAACAAATTTGCCACTTCAGATAATCAATTCTAGAATAATAATGCGCCTCTAGACAAAACTATCAGCTTTGAAAATAAAAACCAAAAGTGTAAGCATCTGTTCTTCCAGACAAATCCACTACACATTAATTTCTTTATTTAAAATCAAACCAAATCAAAGACGGAAGGAAGATACCAGGTGGAACGCAAATGGGGACAGTTCAGAACGAAGGCAAGAAGTTCACAGGCACGACGATGGGCTCATGGGGAGTTCAGAGATAGATTGTGGGGAGAGACAGGGCCAGAATTTCATGGCGACGCAATCAGAGTCAGACAGTAGAGCGAAGCCACAAGAAGGATTATGAGCAGACGCGACAGCGGGGGGAGAGAGACTGGCGAATATGAGTATCGTGGGAGAAATTTAGGAGGGCTTTCATGAAAAGAGAAAGTAGAAACTTACCTTACCGAGTGAGTATTGGGGACGGCAAGCACCGGGGAATATGAAGAAACTTACCTTACCGAGTGGGATGACTGGATCTAGAATGGGGAGTGTGGTAGACGGCGATTTACAGAGAGAGATGCAAATGGCAAGGCAGAACTGGAGTTGATCGTCAACATTGAGTAAAAGGAGCCACCGGTCGATATTGTCATGCTCAGATGCTAGGGAGAAGAGGAGAACTGGAGAGTAGAAAGCAAGAAGTAGAGACCACGATTGATCGAACAATGACGAGCTATGGAGGCTGGAGGTTGCGAGAGGCCGAGAGGGAGATGGACTCAGAGAAGACAGGAATGGCTGAATGGTATTAGAAAAGGGCATATTTGTTTTTCTTTGATATTTTCTATATTTGCAAATTTTTTTTAAAAAAATTATACACCCCAGG